TTCGACGCCATAGGCATAGTAAGGTACTCGCGACATTCCAAGCACGATGAGTAGTGGTGCAAAACATCCATGTCTTGGGAGGACGACTATTGTATTCAAGAGTCCAGTCTGCCAAATAAAGTGGGGCCCTCAAAGGTACCCATGAAGTTGTAGCATATTGGCCGATTAGTGTCCTACCAACTAGTAACCTTGTCCCCTCCTTGCTTCCCTTATGGTCCGAAATAATAAGGCATTGCGAATTAGAGGAAGAAATTCTTGAGTCTTTGAAGTAAACCATGTTTAGACTGCAAAAAAAGAGAAAAGTGTTTATTAGCACTTAACTTAGAAATGCGATATTCATAGCCTTAAATTCGTAATATAATGTATCATATCTCAAGACTAATCCTACCAAACATGGAAAAGGAAAAGTCTTTGGCTTGGACGGTGTAATGATCTTTGCCATAGATAAAGAAAGTCAAGTTTTCAAATAAAGTGAAGTCTTTGGCTTAGACAGTGTAATAGTCTAAGCCTCAGATAAAATAAAGTTAAATCTTCAAACAAGATGAAGTCATTAGCTTAGACGGCGTAATGCTCTTCGCTTTAGACAAAATAAATCTTTGGTCCGGACGGTGTAATGGTATATGCCTCAGATAAAATGAAGTTAAATCTTCAAACAAGATGAAGTCATTAGCTTAGACGGTGTAATGGTCTTCGCTTCAGACAAAATAAATCTTTGGCCCAGACGGTGTAACGGTCTATGCCTCAGATAAAATGAAGTTAAATCTTCAAACAAGATGAAGTCATTAGCTTAGACGGTATAATGGTCTTCACTTCAGACAATAAATCTTTGGCTTAGACGGTGTAATGATCTATGCTTCAGATAAAATAAAGTCAGATCTTCAAACAAGATGAAGTCATTAGCTTAGACGGTGTAATGGTCTTCGCTTCAAATAAAATGAAGTCTTTAGCTCAGATAATGTAGTGGTCTTCACTTCAGACAAAATAAATCTTTGGCTCAGACGATGTAATGGTCTTTGCCTCGGATAAAAGTAAAATCTTCTACTTGAGACGGTGTAAAGCCTTATCCTTGTTCAAAGGAGTGACATTGTCGTGTATGAAGTAATATTTTTTTTTGCCAACATTAGCAACGTTTCGGGCAGATAATTTTCTTTTAAATCACTTGATAGAAAATTTCAGGAAGAAAATAGCAATAAATATTCGAAGATATCAAGGAATTACCTGTCGAAAGAGAAAAGAGACGATCGCTTCGAGAGGACATGAAGGCGTGCAAGTTGCTAGCCCAGACAGTGGAGATACTGCAAATTATTCATGAAACTAAAATTGTTGGAGTGAAGCATATTAAATAATCTTACAGAATGCTCCTACAAGTGCAAAAAAAAAAAAAACAATAGTAATAATAACTAACAAGTTTCAGCCTTTATCCTCATACATGTATGGTTGGAGTACCTTAGTACTGTTGTACTAATTTTATCATAAGTTGAGAAGCAAATACACAGAATAATTGATGCATCCGACATGAAACACTAGTTTTGATCTTGTTAAAACCTATATCACTATTCACTGGTACATTAGGGAGAAAGGGTTCTCATAAAAGATTTCCTCGTAAACTTTGCAGTAAAGCACTCCATGTGACAAAGGTAACAACAATGAGTTGTCTTCTACTTATTTTTTCTCTTACAAGTGAATACAAATTTCATACAAAGAGATTTGTAAAGTACAAAAGTAAAAAGGTTATTATTGTATTAATGTACTTGTTCTCTATTTTAAAAAAAAGTTGGCATGTAGCTATTGTACTATTTAAAAATAAAGTGTCTTGAAACAAAGTTTGTGATAGAAAAAGTGAATAGTACCAAAACAAAAGACATTGTACTTGATATTTCACATATGAAAAGAGAAATTGAATAGTACAAATAAATGTTATGGTACTTGACATTGAAAATGACATACGGCAAAGCTGCAAGTGCACAAATCTTTGAAGTTTGGGCAAGGAGAGGCAACAGATTCTTAATGAAAAATAACAAAGTGCAGTGTATCATCAAATCAAATAAAAAAAAGGAAAGAAGCAAGAGGGAAATTACCAAGAGGAAGGATTAAGCTAGTGAAAGTTCTTGTTGTTTTGGGAATATGGGAATACTAGACTCAAGGTCCTATGGAGTCTATTTATAGATCAAGCATGGACAAAGATGTATGACTCCTAATTGAATACTAATACCTTCAGTTTCTGCACGATTCCAAGTGTAAGGAGGAAGTTTGTTAGAAGTGATAATCCACAAAAAGATTCTAATTTCAAATTAATTTGGATAAGTATGGAAAGCTTTAACAGTACTTGAATCAGCCATGAATTTTCTTATTTTGACGAATTGAATAAATGGTCAGCAAGACCATTTTCTTAAATAAGGACGTACATTCATATCAAAATTTGATTAGATGTTTACATCCTTAAATGAAGGATATGAGATTCCTTTCTAATTGGAAGACAAATGTATTAGATATTAACGTGATGGAGAGAGGAATATGACTTACTAAAGTGGCTAATAAATGAATCATGATCTTACATAGCTAGTGATTACAACTCAAACACTTGTGGCCTTGCAGCATTTTCGTATGCGGCCAAATACTCAAATGAAGGTAAAAATAGCACGGTATAGCCATTTTTCTGATTGGTCATTCAAAAATAGCCAACGTTTACGAAGTTAATGAAAAATAGCCACTATTTTTCTGCAACAGAGGCCGGTCCAGCATAATATACTGGAGTTCGGTGCACCTGTGTATGAACTCCAATATATTATGTTGGACCGGTATACTTTGCTGACTTCAGTATAATATACTGGAGACTAGAGCACCGATGCTCCAAACTCCAGTATATTATACTGGACAATTATAATTGCTGGAACTCCAGTATATTATGCTGGAGTTCTAGTGTACTTATGCTGGAACTCCATCATATTATGCTGGAGTTCCAGCATACTTATCCTGGAACGCCAGTATAATATGTTGGAGTTCAAGCATACTTATGCTGGAACTCCAGTATAATATACTGGCGTATTTTTCGGATTTTGAACAGTGTTTTCGCTCAGATTTATCTTTACATGAAAAGTGGCTAAATTTCGATTACTTTTGAAACTGGACTATTTTTGAACGACCAGTTATAAATCTGGCTATTTTTGAATTTCTCCCCAAAAAGCAAGGCGTCAAATTAAATAGATAAAGCCAAAGCGAAATTATCACATATACTTCAAGCCTAGTCTCGGAAGATTAATGTTCGACAAGTCTTGAAGTAGGGGGTATTTGTAAGCATTTAAATTTTATCGGATTTAAATTCATAAAATAATTTGGACCATATTAAATTCAAGATATTAGTCCAAATAAATATTGTGGCTGGTAAATTGGGCTAATTATTTATATCCAATATATATATGTTTGGCTAGTTCATTTAATTGGACTATAAATTAAATGATAAGCTCACTCCATTAGCCCAAGGTCCAAATGGCTATTAGCCCGTCTTAAAGCCCATGCTCATGCCATATGTCAAGTGGCGTGGCAATCCAAGACAAATAAATGAGCCAATAAAATCATGTCATGTGTCAAGTGATATGGCAATCCAAGCCAAATAAATGAGCCAATTAAATCATGCCAAGTGTTTGGATGGTATTGGTCAGTTCAAACAGACAAATCAAATCGCAGAGCCACATCACTCCCTACAACTATAAATAGAGGTCTTCATAAAGCTAGAAGACACCAGAAGTGATAACAAGAAGCAAGCAGAGAGCTCGTGGATCAAACACCGCAGATTTCTCTACAAGCTACAAGGTCAAGCACTCAAGCTACAAGTTCAAGTTCAAGATCAAGATCAAGAACGAAGCCAAATCAAATACTCAGGCGTTCAAGATCAAAATACTTGTTCGTGATCAAACCCAAATTCAAGGAGGAGATTCAAGATCAAGCTTTACAAGCCCTTGAATCAAATCAAAGTCAAGCTCATTAATATACTCTACATTCTTGAAGAATCAGAAGAATACCATAGAGATTGTAACACTTTAATTTATTGAAATCAAATACTACATTTGTTACGCAATTTCCAGTCTTGATTATTTATTTTTCTAGGCACAAAAATTTATTGTTACAATCCCAATTTGTGCGACACTTTCTATTTTTCGAGACTCAAACTTCATAATTTTGACCTTAGAGTTGAACATGGAATTATTAAATCTTTTGAAATAAATATTTGAACTACGTAAAAAAAATATCACAGGGCAGCTCGGTGCACGAACCATCCCACATTCGCACAAAATTTGGAAAAGAGTCATACCCTAAGGTGGTGTGATGTAAGCAATCCGCCCTAATACCAGTTCACCACATGGTCACAAGGATGGTCAGTTGGTCACTCTTTGTCGGAAAATTGTACTGTATATATAGGTAAAATATACGTTTTAGAGGTATATAACACATATTGAACCCCCTTTGTCGGGAATTTTTTTTCACTTCTTTCAAATTTGAATATCCTTGAAAAAATCCCTACCTTCGCCATTGCCTAATACAAGTATCAATAATTGATTCCATGGTTCGAACTCATAACCTATAGGCTACACGGAGACAACTTTACCATTGCTCTATGCCCCCTTAAAAGCATTACAAGTCATAACTATTACTAAAAAAAATTAAAAGACATATGAAAAAATTATGGTGGATGAACAACTTGTTTGATCTCAACACCCAAATACCTTCACTGAAATTGGGACGGAATGAGTATCATATATGACTATTTCTTCAAGATAGACAAAACAGATGAAAAAAAGATAGGGAAAAAAATCCCAAGAAGATAAGAAAGTAAGGACTATTCCTATCACAAGAAGAGAAAGTATCATCGAAGAAAGGAATAAAAATCAGAATCCAAAGCCTAGCTAGTACTAAAATAAATTCAAAGAACTAAATTAAAAAAAATTAAATACTAAAATTAAAAATCATACTCTGTTGTAAAGCTACTACATTAAAATCAACACTGATAAAAAGGTTCTGCACAACATCAGTGTATTGAATATCAATGTGTACACCATACTAAATGCTTATAACAGCCTCATTTAATATGTCTTGCCTCTACAAGAATCCCAACTAGGGACCAAATTTATTGACCAAAATTCCTAAAATATAAAATCCAAAAATTACATATTCCACGTGTTAATTATAAATCACACAACTCACAAAAATTTTAAAATTCGCGAGCCTAAATTAGTTTAGGTGCGCTCAAGTTAACCTAATCACGTCCCAAGCTAAGGGTTGTAAAAGTGGTCACCACATCTACATTTCCAGCCAAGTGGTTTGTAATTGGAGTACCTATTAGCCCCAGGTGACTGAAAATAGTCCATGGGCATACCTTGGATTCGACTCGGTTCAACTCGGTGGTGACTCGGTATCGTTGGCACTTGAACTGCCATGCATGGGTGGCATTGGTTACACTTGTTGTAACAACTTGGTGGTGTTGAACCCAATCTTGTTTTCTCTTCCACTAACAAATCCTAAAAAATAAGACAATAAGAAAAAGAAAAAAAACAAGAATCATTATAATACAACCCCATAAGCATACATGCAAGTTAACTACTAGTATAATATTCAGAGGGAATTCTTACGTTCAACTAAATTTATTGCTTTTGACTCGAATTATGTATGTATATGCCAAAAAAAAAAATACAATCAAATCTCTCTATAAAAGCATCGTCGTATAACAATTCACTTAAAAAAAGTTTTCTATAGAACCAAATTTCATATTAATTGTATAATATGTTCCCTATAATAACATGTTGCTATAATACCCAAAATAATGAACAAATGAGTCTGTTGCAGAGAAGTTTGACTGTATATGAAGTTAAATAAGATCAAACTAATTCTGAATCGACCAACTCTAGATTCTGAATTCGACTCTGATTCTTATACGTGTATTTGAGGGAAGGGGGAGGAGAAAAATTAAGAAGATAATTTACCTGAGTAAAGTCTTGGGGTTTGTTTTTATGACATAAACAAAAGGAAGGAGAGAAAACAAGAAAGAAGAAAAGGGCAATAATTATGGCTTTGATAGAAAAAATTAATGAGAAATTAACTGAAGTGTTAGTAACCATGGTAGCATTTTTTTTCCACTTAATTAATATATAACTTCAGATAATCAAATGAACTATAAAGTTTAAGTTAGGAAAAGAATAAAGAAGGAAAATCTCAGTTATATTTAGAAGTAAAAGAATGAGTAGGAAGAGAGAAATGGAAGAATTAGGTTATAAGGAGTATAATACTTTAGGTTTGAGAGAGGAGAAATGAAAACAAAAGAGAGGAGAAGTGCAGAAGAAAGTGAATCTATGAATTTTATCTTCTTGTTTTTTCAATTATTTTACACTGAGGGAAAGACAAAAGATTGAAAAGAACAAGTCAAGGAAAAGGGGAGACAGAAATAGGGAGAATTGGTACAGAGAAAAAGGTAGGAGAGCTGCTTGCTTTTCCATTATTGAGGGATTGGCCATTATTAGTAGCTGTTTGTATGGTGATGGATTAAATGGGAAGAGTAATAAAAAAAATCGAATAAAGATAAGGGGTATTTATTTGCAAATAGGGGTCATTACCCAAATAGAAGGATAAATTTATTATTTATTTTTCTCGGTCGATATATAAATATATATATATATATATATATAATACACTAATTGCAATACATAAATTATATTTATATATATTTGTCGGTTATTTTTAGTTTAATCGGTTGGGTTGGCGACTGTTTAGATTAACTATTCTTGCAAATATAAGGAGAGGTAAATGTCCAAATTTGTTCATTGTCATTAACGAAAACCAAGCGTCAACTTTTGATTTTAATGGTTTAAAATAGCTTTTTATGCCAAAAAAAAGGCTTTTTAAGTAATAATAGAACAAATTTAACATATGACAAAATCTTTTTTTCAAGGATATATCATTTTGCCACGTTGACTATATCCTAATGACTATTCACTACTAAGAAAATTAATTAGAACTTTGCTATTAATCTATTGCTAAATTGTACGTAGGTAGCATAATTTTTTGATAATTTATTCCTAATAAGTTGCTAAGTAGGATTCGCGATAAATTTTACAATTTAACTACAAAATTTATTTGTTCATATTTTTTTTAGTAGTGACTGTACTTTAGTAACATATTCGTTCGTAACCTAATTTGCTTTTCATCATCTTGCTAAACTTCACAAAAAACACTATATGTCCGTGCGTATTTTTCATGTATGTTATATGCTAGCTCCGCCTCCAAACATAATTATGGTTAATGAGCAATAATAGTCATACGAAATCTATATCTATATAAGAGCAACAAAAAAAAAACGATAAAGAAATATAATTCGTACAGAGAATACAGCTCCATTTTTATGAAAAATTTTGGTTAAAACAGTCACCTTTTCCTTCTTCTGGCAATCTTCACAGTACCAAAAAACCCGACCCGTTTCAGCAAATCTTCTCTCAACAAAAAACCTAACAATGCCGCACAACAACAGAACCCTAATGCCCAATCCGAAACCCCTCTTTTCCACACATTAACTGAAAACCCAAAAAGGGTTAAACCCAAAATCCCCAAAAACACATCAATTTCCAATTCCTTGGCCAAAATCAACCACAATCCCACACCAATGATTACTAATAAGACCCAAAATCCCCAATTTATCTTCTTTCTTCTTCTCCACCCATCAAATCCATGACCTCTCCAAAACCTAAAACCACCTCCATTTCCACCTCCAAATTCTCGTATAATTGAATCGAATGGCTCTGGCAAGATATTGAGCTTTGACGCAATGAAATAGGCTGATTCTAGCATGATTTTGGTTGATCTGACGAATCCGGAGTGCCTTCTCTTTTTCCTCGCTGACGCAATTGGTTTCTGCAAATTGAAATGGAAATGGGAAAGCACGGCATGTTTGGGAAATGGATACGAATAGTTCGGAAAATCAATGGTCTTTTGAATTGGATTTGAGAGGAATGAAGGGTCTGAGAAAATATACTTGACTTGACTGCTCTGCATTTCGTTCGCTCTCCTTTGAATCTGATCAGGCTAATTTGATAAATGGAAAAAGAATAATATAATGATAATAGTATGAAGAATACAGCTAGCCGTTTACATTCGAATGGAGACGCTGCGGATTGCAATACGCACGACTAACAATTAATGCTATCACAAAATTCTCATATAATTATCTAATAAATAATTTAATTGTGTAAATAAATTTTACACCATCATTACATATAACATACACGTTTAGATTTTATTTGGTATAAGGGATAATTAATCTCGGAATTAAATTTGAGATGAATTTATCTCATGTTTAGTTGGGATAAAATCGTGGTATAATTAATTTCGAGATTAATTATTCCGAAATTGTAGTATTTTTTTTATCCTTATGGGAGGGTGAGATAAATAATCCTAGCATAACTAATACAGGAATAATTAGGGGTCGTCTGGTATGTGTGTAAAAGGATAATAATATCGAGATTATATGCGAGATTATTTTATCCCGTGTTTGGTTCTTTTTTAAATTTGGGATTAATAATTCCGGAATTAATTTATCTCACAATTGTGATATTATTCAATCATATATTAACACCATAGTGGAGGCTGAATCATTGATGGATTTCAGGCATGATAAACACGACCAAGGCAAAGGCAAAGAATTAAAGGTTAATAATATCAAAGGTGGGGGAGACTCTGGTATCAGAGCAAAGGTTTCAACTAAGGGAATGGTGAACGACGGAGAAATTAATGTTGCCAACACCCAAACACACATTATCCAGGATGCTGCTGCCAAGAGCGGCCGTAGCAAAAAGAGGAATGCCACCAACAAAAACCAGGAAGTGCCACCCGGGGTTGTGTCAAACAAAGGGCTTAAATCCCAAGAACCATCTGCCTCTGAGGCGAGCGAGGATGAAGTGGAGGTCTTACCCGAGGACGTCTCGCTCGGTAAAGAGTGGGTGATGAAGATGAACGCGGGGATGGACGTCGTAGAGATCTTTGGCCAACGCTTGGTGAAGGTAGAAGACACTCTTAGTGTTCTAAACGACACACTAGGTGGGTGAATAGGTCCACAAATGTTCCCTTGTATACGTTTCAAAAACGCAGGGGACTCAATCCCAACCTTTGTTGGTGATGGTCTAATAATTAAGTTGCCTTGATAACAAGAAGTGCAAGAAAATTCATTATTTAACAGAATCTTTAAATTCTTTAATGGATGTCCATTTGAGTTTTCTATAATTCATCTCATCATAATTGATCTAGGATGTCCCTATCGATCATGTCAAAGTACAAAAGTATTAGAATCAGTAACCTTTTGGTTTACGGTAGAATGTGCCTCAATTACACGAATTCTTGTCCAATAGAGGCCACAAGATAAAGATGGGAACTTCTCAATAACCCTCTTTTGGCCAGAGACATTTTTGGTAATGATGAGATATTCAAGATTATTCCCATCTATTGTCTCAATATAATATCCATTTCGGCGGATATCTTTAAAACTCAACAAGTTCCTCTTGGACTTGGAGGAGAAAACTGCATTCTTTATGATAAGTATTGTTCCCTTAGACAGAGTTATAGTAGCTCTTCCAGAGCCTTCAATTAATTTACTACTATCAGAAATTGTAGTAATATCTGCCTTACACATATTTAAATGAGAGAAATATTTCTTCTCTTTAAATATTGTATGTGACGTACATGAATCAACTAAACAAATATTTTTACAATTGAACTTTGATCCAAGTTTATTTTGTGAGATCCATATTTGCTTCCCATTGTTTGACATACAAAAGAAATATACGAATAAACATTAGTATTTTTAGAGAAAAAAGAAAAAAAACAAAGTTAAATTAATGATTCGATAATAACCTTTTAATGCAATTTCAAGCAAACTCTGATCTTGATAGAAACAATTCATATCTAAAAATAATGCAATTGTTGTCATATACTATGATTTAAATAAACTGTAATCGTGAATTTCTCTTCAAGCCAACGTGCTTAAATCTCATCAGAGAATCCCAATGGAGGTTTGACATTGGCAAAGTAAATACCTTTTGGTGCACCAACATTTGTCAGCCTTTTGCTAACAGTCACCAGTAATTTAGGTTGTTAGGCAAATATGATTTCTTGGGACACTTGAAGGATTTGTCGAGATCCTTCGTTACTGTTAAAAATAACAGTAATCATTACAATCAGTTTGACTTTTGTGTTATATCTTTTTTTTTTTTTGAAACCAAATCAATCTTTTTTGGACTTTTTTCAACCGAAGTATTACTATTACCACCAACGTGTTTAAATGTGTTTGAACGAGCACAGGTTATTTAAAACGAATACTAGAACTATATATAATTAAAACGAACTAACACTTTCATAAAACAAATAATACTAATTGATATTAAGGACTACTACTCACTACTCAATCATCTTTAACCTGTATCCATCATCGATCAAGTGGTCTATTTTTCCATAAGGGTGCTCAAAGAAGGTTGTCACGTCCAAGTGGGTAATGTCAAATTCATTGTCATATACAAGAATAGCTTCAGGGCATTTATTCTTTAGAAATGCTTGATAAAGCTCAACCAAATATCTTGGTGTACGACAAATATTTGCTCAATGCCCTTTTCTACCGCAACGATAGCATTCAGTTTCTGAACCATTTGCCTTTGGCTTCTCTTCTTTCCCTTTCTACTTTTGGTGGTTATTTTTCTTTTGGGGATGATTAACACCAGGTAAATTTCTTCCTTGTCCACGGCCACGACCATGACCCCGACCACGCTTAGGGACACAACCTTTTCCACTCTTAGCATAATGGGAATACATCACGTCCACTGCAAGTAATGGTGTAGATCCAGTGGGTCGATTTTCGTGATTTCTCATGCGCAAATCGTTATTTCGTTCAGCCACAAGGAGAAGAGAAATCAACTCAGAGTATACGTGAAACCTTTCTCTCTGTACTGCTGTTGTAGTACCATATTGGAGGCATGAAATGTTGTAAACGTTTTTTCAAGCATATCATAGTCAGTGATAGTATCTCCACAGAGTTTCAATTTAGAAGTAATTCTGAACATCGCATAATTATATTCAGAAACATACTTAAAGTCTTGGAACCTCAGATGAACCCAATCATATCGTGTTTATGGAAGAGTGACCAATTTTAAGTTGTCATATATTTTCTTTAAGCCATTCCACAAAACAAGTGGATCTTTGACTGTGTGATATTCTATTTTCAACCCTTCATCAAGATGATAGCGCAAGAAAATCAAGGCCTTAGCACAGTCTTCGATGGATGCTTTAGTTTTGTCTTTAATTGCGTCTCCAAGACCCATTGCATCTAAATAGATTTCAGCATCCAATACTCATGTTATATAGTTCTTGCCCGAATTTTCAAGGGCAACGAAATTTTATTTCATAATGTCAGTCATAATTAAATAGAGGAGAAAAGTTATACCTTAATCTTCTCACAGAGCTTCTTGAGACGGGAGAGTCTCGTGCTGATAACGTGTAATAAAATAATAAAAGTAGAAGAACAATATTGCAGAGAAAGAGATGGGGGAAATTTTTATTGAATTTTGGGATGATTTACAATGGAATAGGACCCTTCTATTTATAGGGAAAGATTGACTTAGCCACCAAGTAAAATCCATAAGATCTCTATAAAATATAGACATTCACCTTAAATAGAATTCTATTTATAACAAAAACTTTTTTTATTGTGTAATAATACTTCAAATTAATCTAACAAAAAATATTAAGCATAAATACGTCTAATAATTTTAAAATAACACAAATTGTCTCAAATCAATTTAAATATGAATTTCTGGAGAACACTCAAGACAACTCTTCATATGCCTCCTTAAACAGCATGTACCCACCCACTTTAGACGAAGATTTAAGACTATACCACTTTTCTTGCACTTTACTTTGTGAACTTCTTCATTTTTATACTACCACCTCAAAGTGTTCCCAAATATATAAGCGCACTCTAGAAGTATGGGACATGATTTAAGTTGAATTGAGAATTTGAGTTTGAAAAATGAGAGATGAGTGAAGAAATGAAGAAAGGAAAGGGTATTTATAATTTTCAAAGGGCTAAATTAATAATTACTAAAAGTGTTATTTTTTAAAAAAAAATTGCCCAAAAAAAGGCTATTCTTGCAATCAACCCGTTGGGCAACGACCAAATTTGAGCTGACCGTTGCCAACGGTCATATGACATTAAAAAAAAATCAAAAAATAGTCGTTGAACTGGTCCGGGCCGGTTAACCAGTTCAACAGTATTTTTCATTGACCGAGGTTGACCGGTCCGGTTAACTGTTTTTTATACGGACCAACCCCTCAATCCCCCTAACCCAGCCTACCCGGCTTCTAACTATCATTCCGGGTTGGTCCGGGTTACAACCGGTCTGGGCCGGTTCGAAAACGGGTCAACCCTGCCTTGTTAAACAGGTATAAATATTTCTAACTTTCAAAATCACAAATTTACATTTTCAAAAGGTTATAGCTATGGATATACTTTGAATGACATGATAATATAAATATATTTTTCACACTAAGGGATCGTTTGGTAGGAGGTATTAGAAAAAATAATGCAAGCATTAGCTCTGTGTATTACTAATACATTATTTGGTACATTTTTTCAACTTGTGTATAACTAATACAAGTAATGCATACAAAACCATGACATTAGTAATACCAAGGCTATTAATGGATGCATATGTATGGTTAAATACAAAATTATCCTTAAAGCCCCTTAAAGCTAGAGAATATGGAGGGTATTTTTGTAAACATCTATTTTTCCTAAAAATTAAGCAATGCATTATAATTTTTAATACACCACACCATACAGTAGAGAAGAAATAATATATGCATAACTAATGTTTGCATTACTAATACCACTTTATTCCGCATTATTCTTATATACCCTAACAAACGACCCCTAAGAGATCATTTGGTAGGATGTATTAGAGAAATAATGCATGCATTAGCTTTTGGTATTACAAATCCCTTGTTTGGTACACTTTTTAAACCTATGTATTACTAACGCAAGTATTATTTATACAATCTATTTGGTATTATCCTATGTATAACTAATACATAGCAAACTATGGTATTAGCAATACCAAGGCTATTAATGTCTGTAT